TTTTTAAAGAAAGGAGAAAGAAAAAAAAAAAAAAAAAAAAAAAAAAAAAAAAAAAAAATATATATATATATATATATATATATATATATATATATATATATATATATATATATAAACAGCTAATAAAACCACAAAACCATTGATGTACTGGTCAGAATATACTCCCACTTCCAGGTTTCTGTCAAAGGTTATGCAGCAGTGTTGTTGAACAGCTGCAGATAATGAAAGAATAACTGATTGATATTTTTGTAAATAATCACTCAACCTTGAGTGATGCATGAAAAAGCAAGTTTTGACAGCTAATTTTGTCTCCTTATCTTCTCAGCAAAGTTATACTCAGGATTAAATGTATATATTGTAGGAGTTAGTATATTCGAAGTATGGTCAGCCACCGGTGGAGGGGGATGTCATATCCTCCATCTCATATGCAGAAAACTCCCAAAATGGAGTTCTTTTGTTTGGAACCAAACTTCCATAAACAAATCATTCCATAATCCTGGAGCAAAAAGTGACTGTTTTGGGGAGTGACAGCGATCGTTCATCTGTTTACATAAAAAAAAAAATCACACGCACAAAAGATCATTGTCGTGTTGAGTTCAGTTTCTTACAATCCTCTTAGAAAAGTCGGTTTGGTTGCAGATAGAGATTTATTTATGTTTCATCCATTGAAGATTTAAGGTTTTTAGGCTGTAAAATGTGGTTGTATTTTCCCTTTAAATATGGATGATAAAATGCTGACCTTGCAAAATGTATAATTTATGTTAAAAAAAAATTGTAAGGAAAAACACTGCTGAAGCAGAAAATAAATCCTGTCTCCCACAGATTTTTTTTTATTTTTATTTGTCAGTCTTAAATGCTTCATATTACAAAACTAATTTCAATATATTTTAAGATATTGAAATACAATAACCAGTTTTCAATTATGGCTTTATTTTATTATAGTCAGGGTCAAGTCAGCCTGACTATGTGAAAAAGTAATTACCCCCTAAGCTACCTGTGACACCATGAGTGGCAACAACTTCCATAAATCTTTAGTGATAACTGACACCTAGTTTCCTTCATCACTGTGGAGGAATTAAACGTGAATGGTCTGTTTAAGGTCCTCAAGACTGGATTTGAGTTCAGACTTTGACTGTGCTGTGGGTAATTTTCCCTCCGTGTAACCAGACAGTTGGATACAAACTGCAGGTGTTCACGAAGTGAACAGAAAGATTGCTTGAACTTTTAATGAAGTATGTACAATGTACAATCGAATGCTTACAACAACAGTACAGTAGCCTACCGGGAAGAGTAATCGATCGCAATCAAACCACTAAAGTCGTCGTTTTCCGTGTCAGAACTGAACAGCCTAAGAATTACTTCGTCACACACTTCCTCAGTCTCTCTTATGTTGTCGCTCTCAATGTCACTTTGGTCTCGAGCCAAATTTCCCCTTGAGGGCATGATGTGTTCCTTTTTTTATCTCCAGGAAATTTATAACCAAAAAAATAAAAAAATTCAATTCAATCATATGAACAGATTGAAAGTCATCATTTGAAAATTACTTTTTGTTATTTACTTTATCCAAGCACTGCATGTGCCAGCCAAAACCAGTACATCACACCACGATATCATCCAGCCTCTGCTGCTCTGGTAGTATTTACACTTGTCCTCTCTCTGCAACACGGTGACGGTCGCGAACGCACCTCAGATGACAAGCCTCACTGACATGAGGCATTAATCAACTGCTCCTTGTATCCTCTTATCTCTCACTTTCTTCTTGTCAGCCTTGCAGCATGTCAGAGTAAAGGCAGAACTCCAGAGTTGGCTGTGATTTTTAAAGGCCAGCAGATACCAAAATGTCGGGCCAGGAGGCTGAGGGGAAACAGTTGGGGTAAAGGTATATCAATTTAATTTCACAAATAAGTTGAGTGGAATGAGGTATAATTTTTTTTTACGTCATGGAACAATTCGGCTCAGGTTATTTTAGCAAAGGCTCCTTGTGAGGTTCATAATCCAAGCTAAGTGACAGACTAATTTATGGCATCAGAATGCCTCCGTTGGGTCATTTGAACGTTCAGGGTACAGAGAGGCTGCTCTGCCTCAGCGGTCACATTCACTTGTACGCATCGTGATCGCTAGAGGTTTTCAAGGAGAAAGTGAGCGCAGGGTCGCCCCATATTTTTAACGTTTAAACCTCAGAACAAGACGGATAGAAGTGAAGGTAAGACACGACTGCTGCGCTGGACAAAACTTACCACCAAACGGAATCAGTGGCGTGTTTCTTCTAATCTTCATCCTGTTTAGAATGGGAGTCGAGATTTAAATTGAACCAAAAGGCCCATGGAATGAGAAAATAGGTTCTCTACTGGAGTGCGAATTCATCAAACTGGACAAGAGACAAATCTGGTGTTATTGAAACGACTCAATCAGGAGACAAAGAGACAGGAAGAAAATCAAAAGAGTCTCCGAAAGCCCAAGACAGACCCGCAAACAGAGACATCGAGGCCATTTTCTTAACAATACGAAGAGTGCCTCGCTAAGTCAACTTAATGCTGATGACCATTCAGGGTGTCAAAGGCCGGAACAAGTAATTAAAGGCAATAGAGGGAAAAAAAACTGGGGGATTAGTTGGAATTAATCTGCAACTTTTCCCATTTTCTGGCAGAAAAACGCTGAAATGGAAGGTTATGGAAATCTAGCAGAGCATAGCAGAACTAATAGGTTGGCAGTTTCCACCCCCCTCTCCTCCCACTTCCACCCTCTGGAATGAGAAGGGACTAATGGATCTAGGGCCCTGGCTAAGATGGCTGAGCCAGATTCCATGTGGATTTAAGTGATTAAGAACACGGTGGGCCCCTTTTGTCAGGGAAAATGTGATATACGAGAATGAATGCAGATATATGAAATTCTTCATTTAAAGCAGTCAGGGAGCGCTTCAGATCCCAGATTAGGAGGGAAATTGTGTCATTTGAACGGAGGGAATGAGAAGCAGGGGAGAGCAGGGGTCTGCAAATATTCACACAGGTGGTCATGTACAACACCTAGCAAAAATTATTCCCACCCCTTTAACTTCATTACACCTTTCAAAATACTCCATGGTTTTCAATTTTATTTTGAAAAGGTCTAAAACGGGTCAGTACCAACGAGTTTTCCTTTAAGTGACGCTCGCCTGCACTCCAAAAAATTCTGAATTCTGCTTAACTCTGCAAAAGGAATCTTTAATCTGTAGCTCCTCAAATAGAGATGTTGTTTGTATTTCTGTTGCTGACTTATTTTACTACCCAGGCCTTATCAGGCAGGTATTTATAGACGATAAGTGAGACAGCACTATTTGGTTATTGTTTTCTAATAATCAGGTGGTGCACCACCTTGGTAATTCTGATCTAAATCATTAATTTTATTAATAATTAGACGCAGCAATTATTTTTGGTTATTTATAGCCAAACCAAACATATTGCTGCCCAACAAGCGCTGTAAAAAAAAAAAAAAAAAAAAAAATCAGCAAACAGGTGAATTTTTCAGAAATTATTTGGAGTTACGTTCTGTCAAAAAAATCAACAAATACTAAAATGATGGTGTCTAATGTCAGCAGGCTGGAAAGTTTAATTTTGGTTTCATTTGACTAGAGCATCTTCTCCCACGTGGTTGCTGCATCTTACTCTGTGTAGGTATCAGATTAAAGAATGCTGAATAAAAAAATAAAATAAAAAAAAGCATTTTTTTTCTCTCCCCCCCCGAAAAACCTGGCATCCTTCTTAGTTTTGTACCACTTTGAGTTGAACTACTGCAAAACAAATCCAAGTAAAACACATTCAAATTAGTGACTAAAGATGTGAATTCTATCGTAAGACTCTACAGATTTACCCATGTGGTAATGTAGAATTTCAAGAAAAAACTATTCTGGTTAAGTCTTTCAATGGGAAAAATTCAAAACAAGTTCTTGCACCGCCTCACTTTCACACAAGTTATCTTCTGTTTAACTGAGTGAAATTATGAGCTGTCACAAGAAGTTTTTGGGACATAAAGACAAGCATGATTTATGTCAGTAATTTAAATGAAATTTCCTCTGCTCCGGTAAAAACTGATTATTGATTAATGGTGCTAATTAAGTCCGGGCCACAGCACATCTCTGACTGACTCTATTATTATACTTCGGTGTAAAATGTGACAAGCTGTAAGAAAAGAGGGAGTTTAATAACACGAGCCATAACAGTATCGACCCTTATTATTGCTTTTAATATTATTGGATCATCATTTAACATTATGTTGCGTCTCGCACTGAGATAAATTAGCAGATAATGTAATATTGGGATGTTATGTTATCTGAGAATTGATTGCCTGGGTGGACTTTATTGCGTTTCCATGCCATGTAAAGACACAATTTATTACATTCTGCCAAGTTATTACATAATCTATCACCAAGTGAAACACTAGAGGGCAGGTGTGTATGTGTGTATGTGTCAATCTGAAATATTGGAGAAATTAAATCTCCACACATGTACCAAATATAAAGGCATGCATTACATCATTACACAACTTGTAGAACTCCAGGTTGAGTGAAGGTGAGAGCTAAAAATACTATCCTGAGGTCAGAGAAGGGTTACTGTGAGGCTGCTTTTCAATCAGTATCTTGTTCCGTAAATCTTAATGAACTGAACTTAAAAGTGCAACAAGACCAGCATTAAAACACCTAGGTAAAACTTCCAGATACAACAGCTATTTGAGTCTCAGCCTACAACAAGCTGCCTATACATTGGGACTGCTGAAATTTATTTATTTTTTTCCCCACTATGTATATTTTACCCCAAAGTAAACTCCATGTTTAGTTTGAAGAATTCAGTGTTTTGCCTTCAAAGTATCTAATCAGATTTAGCTTTTTTACAGAAATACAGTGGCAGTGGAGTATCAAGCTATTGTAAATCTTGGGGTTTGTGGGTTAACTGGGTAGAGATAGCTGATTTTAGTGCAGAGAGTGTTGGAGCAGGACATAAGTGGTACACTTAATACCTGAATGCCTGTGTTGCAGGTTAAGATATGGGAATTCCTGGTATCACTAACACTGATAGCTGAGAGTACACCATGAAAACTGTGTGTCACAATACCTATGTCCCCTCCAGATGCAACATTCATGACCCCTGGTGTTTGCAGGTGTTAGGGGCCACAGCTGCCTCCAAATAGCTTACATACATGAACCCCTCTCTAAAACATCTAAAACTGCCCGTTTTAGTAGTTTTCATTGATAAACAGAGTCAAAGCTGTCTTGGCACAGCTAACTTCTACAGTGTACCATGTCTCTGTTCTTTGGGATTTGCTGCTCTGCAAGTAGCAGCTAGCCAAGTAGCATTCTGCCTTCCAAACAAATCTGTGGCTAGGTGAATTTTCCATGAATAATTTGGAGATATGTTCCACAGAAAAATTGTCGAATAGGTGAATCCACAACTACTGAAGCGGAAACAGTTGTGAGTCCACTGCAGTGTCACGTACAGCTGCAGAAAAAATTTCAGCAAGCGGACAAAACAGTGCATTTTTTCTGATGGTTAACATGCTGTTCATCACTCAGTGTGCCTGAAACTTTTTTTTGCCTGTACTCTCAACAAACGTCAACACTTATATCCAATTTCATGTCCCCTCAAGAACTGTCTGAGCTGGTCTTCCAGAGCATCAGGGTACATTGGGTGAGAATAACCACTCAATGTACCTCAGAAGGTTTTTCAGTAAGACAGGTGAGGGGTTGCTTGTTCTCAAACAAAGCTCAGAAGTGTGTCAGGTGTCGAAACTTGTTTTCACACATTAATATCAGAGATTTTCAGAATGTGATGACAAGTCAGCTAAAACTTTTTCATAGCAACAAATACTCAGCTGGAGATGAGTTCTCACAGCTGGAACTGTAGACAGCAGAGGATGGTGGCACGATGCTAGTTTGTTGACTAAATCTTTGCACTTCAAGAAGAACAGACGACTTTTTTTTTAAGGTTTGTCGTACAATATCAAAAATCAAACAAGCAAGAATAAAAATAGACAAGTTACTTACAGTTCAACCATGGACTGAGGTTAAAAACCCATCAATCTTTTAGTAGCTTTCGTGTGTAACTCATCCAAGCCTTCGAAACCACAGACAGACAATGCTACCGCACAACAAGATGGTGAGAGAAGATAAAAATGTCATTGTGGGGTTCCTTCTATTACAAGCTTGAGGAGTGACACACTTTTCCACTCCAAATCTGAAGCACAGAATGAGATATTTTCAAACCCAGAAGATCCCCAAAATAAGTGACAGGATTTTAAAGATGCTGAGAAATTGTCCATAAGAAGTTTCGAGGAAAAGTTGCTGATGTTTGTGGTTTTGCCCCCACCAAGAGCATATCAGGAAACTTAAGGAAATGCACAACATGTGTAAAATGTATTTCAGTATCATCCGAATGAACTCTAGAAAAGTTACTTTAAAATATAAAATTAAATATATTCAGTGTTATACTTTTAATTGACAGCCATTTTCACTTTGCGCAATTAATCACTTTGACCAGTGATGTGCCTTTAATTATATCACATCCTCTGTATTTTCTACACTACGGTTGATTTGACAATAAAACAGACTGTTACTAAACCTTCCTAATAAATAAAAAAGCCAATATGGTTTGATTAACTTCACAAGCGTTCTATCAGTCGTTGATATAATGTGTACACCAAGGCCCTTTTTTGATCTGTTTTTGACATGTAGACCTCCCTTGGACATTTCGTTTTGTAATTTTGAAATATCCCCTATCATTTTTATGCAGATGACATTCAGCTGTATTGCAAAAAGTCTCTTAGGCACTTAAATACTTAACTGGCTAAGAAAAATTTCAATTTTATGCACATTTTGCATGAGAAAAGGTAGATGAAAATGTCAAAATTAGGAATGTTGTCCCCAATTTTGCAAAAAAGTTTTTACACCATCTCAAGGTGATTTTGTCTACCTGACAAAAAGTTAATGCGCTAAATGGAGATGGAAACACATTTGATGAATAAGTTCTGATGTATGCTTCCTTACACTGGTGTTTGCCCACTGCCTTACCAGAGGCACTAAACATGGGAAAATTTTTAAAGTTCATACCTCTGTCTTATAGGGGAGAACTCCATTTTTCTGAGATGTGTGGTCCATCCTATCTTGTTTACAAAAGCCATGTGTAGTGTCAACATTTGATAAAATTATACTTTGTGTAGCTGTCACGATCCGTGTTTCTGTGTGTTTATTTTTGAGATTTCCTGTGTTCAGTCCTGTTTTCCTGTGAGTCTCTGTCCTGTCCTCCCCGTTGATTGTTTCCCAGGTGTGTATCATCCCCTTGATTACCCAGTGTGTATTTAAACCCACCTGTTGTCCTCGTCTCTCGTCGGATCCTTGTCTATGGTTGTCAAACGTCTAAGTTTGTTCTGCCACACTCTCCAGTGGAACTGCATTAGTCCTGGATTGTGTTAGCTCGCGTATCTGTCCGTTTATCTGTTGCTACCGGTATTAGCTGTTGCTGACTCTGCTGTGCTGCCTGTTCTGGACTGTCGAGTTATCTTTATTAAAACCATTACTTCATCTACATCCTGGGTCCCAGCGTCTTCTCCTCACCTTACCACCACCCATCCTGACAGTAGCCTGGTTGATTCACTCCAAAAAACTTAGATGGAACAATGTCTAATTCGCATTTTCTTTTTTGAAGCATTTTAAAACTTTGTCCAGCATTCACATAACAATTGAAAACTTAGCTGGTGTCTTCGAGAACAAAATTCCTTTTACCTGTGAACAAGTTGGACATTTGAACTCTGACACGAACCCAGTCTTAGAATTTAGAAGTTATTTCAGCCAATCAATGGAATTCCTTTTTTTTCATTAGCTTGAGAGTCTGGACTAATTTAAGCAACATCTAATTGAATCCTGGTTCAAATTTGCTTTTTTTTTTTTTAGCATCTTTTCAATGATTGCAGTAATCTTTTTAAGCATGTTTCGGTATTTTGATCTCTATTCCGTCTTTAAGAAGCACATTTAGACTTATAACTGAAATGTACAATTTAAGCCAAATAAAATGTACTTGCAGACATGCAATATGATATGTAGGATGCGATAAATGTCTTCGTGTTTGTCAGTGGGTGTAATTCGGAGGGGAGAAAAAGAAGCTAATTTAACAAGCAAATCTAATTCAAAGTACCTCTTTTAGATACATCAGTCATTGTAGTTGTGCCATAACAAACCCCCTCTCATTATAGGAACGATGAAAATATATAGCAGAGGGGTGGGACAAAATGCATGTGGTTTGAAAGCCCGGCTCCGTAGAGCCACGACCGACTTCGACAGGTGCTGGCGGATAATTGGGCGCCGTGCCGACTAAAACCACAGCGCTGCTGTCTCCCTACAGCTCATTACTATCACTCAGAAGTTCCCCTTTAAAAGCCTTCACAGCCTCATGACTCTACCCATTTGGTAAAGCGGTGACTGAAATCTCCTCAAATGCCGACATTAAAGGGCCTGTCACTCTCCGAGCTGCTGACATGTTGTTTGGACAGGTAAGTGATTGCACTCTGCATGGTATAAGCCTCGTAAGCACAAACGTTAAATACATATTCATCGGAAGGCTCACTCCTCTTTATGAGATGGGTAAACTGTACAAACTCATGCTTGCCCAAGGTGAAAAAGCACAAAGCTAAATCATTATAGATCAGCTGCTATTGAATTTAAATGTTTTAGCATCCATGCCTTAATTACCTGTGGATAACTAGAGTTGGATAGGTGGGAAAGAAAGGATTCCATTGAGACGGAAGTTTTGTAACCGAAAAAATGAGATCACTGAATAAAGATGCCCATTTTTTAATTTTTTTATTTTAACATATTAATCTCATTTTGTCCTCAACTGTGGGTGCACTGCACCAAGAACTGCAGAAGAAAACATGAAAACCTCTAAAGAAGACACTGAGCGCATTGTCTTCCTTCTTCAGTAAAAACGTAAACCAAAATGGAGTGGCATCAGATTTTAACAGTTGTAGGATTTTTCTTTCTTGGTAAGAAAGAGAAAGACCACGAGCCATTTTTCCCACAAGCACTAGACATGTGTTAGCTTCAGTCATATTTACCCAGAATTCCCTATGTTAAATCTGCTTTTGGAGTGGTCTCAACTAGTTTTGTTGTCAAGACAACCTAACCCGAGACCAAGTCAAGACCAAGACCGAGAGAGGTTGAGACCAAGTCGAGACCTAGACCAGCGCCCCATGCTACATGACACCATAAAATGTGAAATATGATCAAAATTGCTTTTTAAAATGATCTGAAAGATCCACATTCCCATAAAACACCTAGATATTAAATACTTAGAGCTTAAACTAATTTAACCAATATCATTATCAATTCAAGCTCTTCTTCATTCTGCTTTGCTTCCATTTCTGTACTACAATCTACAGAGGTTTTGCGCCATCCCTGGTCAGTTGCCCATATTGCTCATATCAAAAACCACCACTGTCTGTACCATTAAACATTGCAATTAAGGTAATGCTCCAACACTCAAATATGAACACTGACCAAGGAGCAACAAGCAAGAAGTAACCAAGCACAAGGCGCTCACCATGACTTGAGCCCTCCCTCCTGCTGCTTGAAGCCAGGCAGCACACAGTGCTATAATGTCTGCCACCATAGGTGACGAAAACAATCAAAGAGCAATGAGCATGCTCGGCATGCTCTTACGTTCTTGTGTTTTATTTATTCGATAATTAAATCAATGTATCTAATTAAATAAGATAATAATAGCTACTACAGTGTGCACAGAGCATTACAAGTTAAAACAACGGCTCTCAGTGAGGCTCCAGTCCTATCTTATTAGTAAAGAGCCGTTCAGAAGAAACGGATCATTCGTGAATGTCACGTCACTATATTGCTGCAGAATGTGGTCACAGCGTTGTCCGTATGCCTCAGCGCAATGAGTGACAACTTTTTTCATACAATTTGTCCCTGCACAGCTAGCTTTGCTAACATCACGTCCACAGAGCTTACCTTTCTATGAGCTTCTTTTCTAAGTGACGATAAAAGTTAAACGTAGTCCACACCGTCTGTGAAAGCGACGTGCTGCTGAATGTACAAGTCGCCATCGGATTTCTGATGATTTATGCAGCGGAATTCTATTACTGACGATTAGACAGACATCTGCCGCTCAGAGAAAACCACTGCGCATGTCTTGGAGCGCCGCGTGCGTGAAAAGGGGAGGCGACGTGGGACAGCGATGACACAAGTAATTAGTAAGTCAAGTTATTGCTTAGATTTTAATAGGTATGTTTTGCATAGATGTTAACAAATAAACTGGACAATATACTGGCAATTTAGTGATAATTTTACAGTTGTGGTCTTGACCGGACTTGAAATAAAATTCAAAGTCCTCAATGCCCGAGACAAGACCGGGACCAAATGCGTTTGAGTCCAAGACGAGAACAAGACTATCAAAAAGCGGTACTACAATACTAGTCTCTAGTCCACTTGGCGTTCACATATGCATTCGAACTGCATCAGAGTTCACCTCAAGCAGACGGAGATCTAGGTTTTTAGGTGAACCAGAGTTCACCGTTTTGGTTCACATTAGAGTTTGACTATAGATTGGCACCTACCCAAATGAAACAGACTTTCCCACCAAACGAACTGGAGTTGGATTAAAGTCGGCTGAACAGAGCTGGCGTGAATGCACCTTAACACACTTCTTGTAACCCTTTTTCCAGTCTCCCACAGTGGTCTGAGGAAAGTTTGCAAAAGAGTTAATGTGTTAAAGAGATGGAAACACATTTGTTGAATACTTTCTGACGTAGTGAACATTTACCTCACATGACTGATCAAGTATTTCAGTTGTTAGAATCATTAGAATTGTATTTATTTGTCTTCTTCTCTTGATAGTTTGTAAATGTCAACTGTTATCAGAAATGTTACAATTACAACTTGCCCTATAGCAACACATTCCCGAAAACCTCTCTCCATTTTTCTTAGACTCCACACTAGTTTATCACCTTCCTATTTGGTAGTCATGCATAGCGTCAATGTGATGAAATCACCCTCACTCCAAACCAGTAGATGGAAACATACTTAATATTCTTTTTTTCTTTTTTCTTCATTTTTGCAACATTTCAAGAAATTTGCTCAAAATCTGGATGACAGTTTGATGGAAATGTAGCTAATAAAAGCAAAGAAACTCGTGTAGAAACTTAAATATTTCAAAGGATGTGCTGAGTTTGTGAAAGCCCGTAGTTAGAAACTCTTTTAACATCGTCATTTGACTGATTGTGTGATGGAGGGTTTCAGAAAGGATTTCACTTAAGATTTTCATTGCTACGCTGAACAAAATCACACATTCAAAAATCTGAACAACATTCTTCTCAGAAACTCCCCCTTACTGACAGCAGTCTCAGGAGGCACCTGCAACATCTGGCTGTACATCAACAGATCCGGCGCCCAGAGACCAGGAGCTCTGTGGACTCTGTAATCTGGAGGCTTGCCGTTACTCATTTTTGGCATGACAGCATACTTGGAAGCCGGTGTAACTCCAGTTCTCTCTGATTTTTTTTTCTTTCTTTCTTTCTCTCTCTCTCTCTCTCCCACCAGTGCGTAGCAGCCTGACGTTCAGCCAGAGTGGATAGGGATCTACGGAGGCAGGGACGTGATGTAGCGTTTATTCATCGCCGCCTCCGCTGCTGCCTATTCTTCATCACAAATTCAGTTTATTCCTTTCAGATTAAAAGAAAGGCAGCTGATGTAAGAAAGCCGGATCACAGACAGACGAGACGTTCTAGCATGTGGCATTTAATTTTACGGCGGGGCTTTGTAGCAGATTTAGCAGATTTAAGCATGCCGCAGAATACTTTTAATTTAATAGGAGAAAAGGAAATTAAAGAAAAATGTTACCATTGTGGGACATACACACCAGTGCAGCAACTTATTGTTGGAACCAGATGGACTTTGTTCTCATTGTCCGACATTGACTAAAACTTTTATGTTTTAGGCCAGTTACGATTACCAAAAACTGACGTCTGTTTGATAAATGCAAATACAATTAGAGATATTTTAAAGGAAATGGGTTACTTTCTTCAAATTCAAAAACGTACATAAACCAAGAGAATAGAAGAGCACTGGTGAAAATAATGTTAACCTGTGGATGTACATATTACCATGGCAAAATCACATCTGGAAATAGGCTAAATATAGTTTTTTGATAGACCATGAATCAAATATTTCAAATCATAGCTTTGCTCTGTGTTTTCTTGCTTTTGCTAACCTTTTAAAGGTGCTGGTTGCAGCTCTTAACAAGGCTTCTTCCGTTTGAAAAACCACAAAGTGGAATGCAAGTCCTTAAAAAAACTTTAGAAACCTTCAAAAACCTTTTTTGATCTTTGTTTTCATCATAAAACATCTAATCAGTTTAAATTAGTTGTAATCGTCTATTCCTAGATCTGCAAACAAAACAGAGGTCCTGGTGTTTGTCTCCGATCTCTATGGTCAACTTCAGTCTTTGATTCTCCTAATGATGCTTAATGATTCTTGCTTTATGTATTGCCAAGTTTTAGATTTACATACTGTGTAATTATTGTATTATTCTGGAGTTGTGTCGCTCATGGTGGCACCATGTTGCAGTAGTTCTGTTATGATACTTCTTTCTGCAGGACGTGTTGATAATGTTTTGTTGAGGCATTGGATGTTTGGACAATCGTTCCCTCTGATTTTGGACACTATGCAACTGGGATTGTGATGCGTAACCATGGCAGCAAGGTATTTTGTTGACAACTTGAAGCTTCTAATTAGCATCTGAGAACCTGAAAAAATACCTGAACTCAGGAGGTTCAAACCATTTTTTCCAAGCATCATAGCGAACGTGAATCATATCCCTTACTCCAACATCTCTCTTCGACCAGACAGAGATTTAAAGAGGAGCAGCAAAAGCTGATGAGCTGGATTAGCAGTGCTGCTCGCCAACAACTGGTGGAGTTGTTCAGGAGGAGTTACTGGAATATCGTTTCTGCTGCCCGGATACTGAGCAGTTTCTTCCTTTCCACGATTCTTTGAAGATATGAGTGACGACATTCAGTTTCCCTTTGGGACAAATAAAGTATTTTTGAACTGAATTGAACATCTGATAGGAACCGCACCTCTATGATGGAACACTATCGCACTGAATGGTTGCTAACTCCAAAGTTGCATGGTAATAATAGCATAACTGGGGTAATCTAACTCAAATTTGGCAAATTCAGCTTATAACCTTAGCTGTGACTCAGATCCATGAACTGAAGATGAAGTACTTTTGCTAAATTTAACTATGATTGACGCCAATTAACAAATCAACTTTGCCAGTAATTATTTGTCGACACTAGAGTTCTTGTGATCTTGTTTCCCATTGGTGGATGGAGCGGGTCAATGAAACCACCTCACTGGTTCGTGGACTCGTACAGTTTGGAGGTTTATAACCAGCATTTTCTTTCCTCTCGGTGCTTTTAGACATACTTTTAATGTGGTCAAATTTAGTTACTATGGCAACAGTGCCCTTCTGAGGCTGGCCCCCATATTGGTGTTTGCTGTAAATCTTCCAATACCTTTACAATTATTATCAACTTGTTACAAAACTGCTCTTTTGATGCAGAATTCATTCAGCGTAGAAAAAAAAAAGAAAGAAAATCAAAGCAGTGTTCTGTGCTTTAAGGCTTTCAGTAAACACGACCTTATTTGTGCTTCTGAGAAAATATTGCCATCCTAAAACCAACATGTTTTATTTCCTGCTGCCTCGTCTCACTGGCTCTCTCCCGCTCGCCTCTCTCCGGCTGTCGCCTGCTATAATGTAAATGAGGCTCTCAGCACTGAGCCTATGATGGTGTCAGCCCCCTCCTTAGTCTCTGGTCTCATTAAAAGCCTAGTGTTGCTGACATTTACCCAGCTACAGTGTTGACTAGCTCTTCATGCGGGCCAAACGGGTCAAAACAATAGACGGTGTTAGCATCAACAGTCCAAATCCTCCATGAATGGGAGGCTGGGATGTTTGCTAAAAACACACACGTCAGAAAACATCTTTCAGAAAGGCCTGCAATGTTCTGGTTTCAGTTTGAAAGTATGCATATTAGGACGGATTTATGGCAAATATTTCTACTGAGGTCTGACTTCAGATATGGAACCTATAAGAACTGAAGGCTGGACGGATGATGAATGGATGGATGTAAAGATGGATGATGGATGGATGGTAGAATGGATGGATGTAAAGATGCATCCATCCATGATGGATGGATGGATGTATTGTTGAAAATGTGTTAATAAGACGAGGATTGTGAATAAAGGCTGGAAATCCTAATTGTTCTATGCTTTTTTTTTTCTTGTTCTTTTCCAGAGCTAAAAAAAAACAAATAAAAAAAAATCATATTTAATATTTTATCCAGACTGTGTAAAAAACGTGTAAAAATGTAAGACAAACATCACACATTGTGAATTTTGGTGTAATTCTGATAAAGTGAAGCATTGCCATTCCCAGCGCGTTCTGTCCTTGGTGTGTTGTTAATGTTTGCTCTGATTTCAGCATGACAAGGTCCTGACCACTTCACTACTTTAAATTCTGAATAACAGCAAACATCCCCCATGTCCTTTTTTTTCCTCCCTTCTTATCTGTACATATGCATAAAATTGCCGTTATTGTCAAGGTTGTTTTACATAGTTCTACCTCCCAGGCCGGTCACAGATAATGTCAGCACGCTGTCATTGCAGTTTAAAAATGCTTTGATTTCAGTTAACAGCAGCCATCTCGCCAGCCCCACAGTAACACAGAGAAATGGCTTTGTGAGTTTGAAATTAATAGGGCGGCTATAGATATTTCCTGACCTGATGTCCTCCTGGGACCCAGCAGCTCTGTTTTTCCTGCGGTCCTCTTATCCTGTTACTGATGCCTGACTCTGTGTAACCCTTATCTCTGAGCGCGCTACATGGCCCGATAGGGCTCTGTGTGTATGCAATTAAAACAGCTTATTTGACAGATAAGTGGGGGCCCGCGGTCAGATTGAAAGCCACAGCCTGCCACTATCAGGTCTTTAGGTTACAGCTCCCGGGTTAAATGGCCCCGGGATGCAAAGTGAGCCAAACGAGGCACACAGCTCAATAAAATGAGTCCATAGGAAAGAAGACTTTGCACATAAAATACCTTGTAAGTTTTTGTACAACTGGGTTCCTTCACCCTTTTCAAGACCAAATTCTAGATTATTTTTTTTTTTTAGACTGCAATTTTCCAAGTTCTCTGCCCATTTACACTGGACACCTCGTATTCAAAATCCAATTCAAATTCAAAAAAATGCTTTATTGATCCCAAAGGGAAATTAAATGTTTTTGTTGTAACTCATTAATTCAGATTCTTCAAAAATGGATTGTTAGATGGTGATGGCTGTTGGCAGGAAAGAGCTCTTGCAGCGGTCTGTATTACATCGAAATTAGAAAAATAAATTGTGAGAGAACATTTTCAATATCTTCAAGTGATGAAATGATAAAAAAAACAGCTATCAGTTCAAAATTTGTATTTAATTCTCATTTATTTTATATTTAAATCCAACCTCTGGCTTTGACCTCAGCTTCTTCAGATGCTTTCTAGCAAACAGTATCTCCAAAAGAATATTATGAGCGTTTTCAACTGGTGCTGATTAAGTCAACTAACAGCAACCAGAGCTTCTTTCCGTGAGACCACCGATAGTTCAGACATGGCTCAACTTTGTACTTTTTCTTTTTTTCTTTTAATGGTAACTGCTTCGGAGAGGACCTGTTGGGCTCCATTGGAAGGATAAAGCCCCACTGCAATATTTGTGGATTTTTAAAATTCGATTTTACAAAAACAATAGTTTGGACTTGGACGGTGTAAACATGCTTGTGACCTACGGGGCACCATCAACGACGGGCAAAGTGGACGAGCTTTTAGCTGGGCTATCAGCTGTGGCAACACGGAAGAAATCCCTCCAGTGTCACATCCCCCAGCGTGTTCGTTGTTCCTGACTCAGCAGTGAGTTAAAAACACCACGTCACACCTTATGTCTATTAACTTTATCAAATCAACATCCAGCCTTCAACAAAGGCTGTTTGGTAGGTTGGTCATCATGTCCATTAAATATGAGAATATGTTTTTGCATAAGGAGATCCACTGACTAAGACTAACAGATCCACTTTTGTCTGAGTTTTTATAAATAATCATATTTTGTAATATAAAATTGAGTTTTATATCACTCAGCCACTCAAAGCCTAAAACACATAAAAATGCTTTCGTTTTTCCAGATATCTGATTACATGTGGACTTGGCCTGAGACAGAGCTGCTCCAATGCTTTTTTATTTATTTATTTTTTGTCAGTGATGTTCAAATTTTTCATCAATTTGCATAATTTTAGCTAACAATGTGGTACTTAGAAGTGTTGATTTTGTGGAAAAACTGACAGCATTTTCTATGAAACTTGGCCTTTTGTCGTCTTGATGTGACGATGTCATCTGGTTTGAAGCATGACGAAGGGAGCTGACACTGAAAAATCCCCAGACATGAAACAACACATACTTTGTTGGATGCCTGGCCACTGAGCTGTTGGGTTTCAGTAAATCTGGCCCTTGAGCGTAGATGGATGTATACTTTGGACCACTGAAGACAAATTAAAAGGCAACATTTATTCCCTACTTTTGACAAATTTGAGAAAAACTTCATTGTCAGACTTTTTCATTCTTGAATAAATCTCTGAGCAATAAATATTCACCAAAATGTCTTGATGACGTGTGTATGTTCCATTCTTACATAGGTGAGGAGAGACAAATAAGCATTGTTAAATTGTGGGAGGCTATGGTGACAGCTTTACAGCTAAAGAGAGACAGAGAGATCCGATTAATCATAAAAATATTCTATAGAGTACTCGATTACTAAAACCTTCTTTTAT